GCTTGTGAGCTCATCAGTCCAATCTCTGCCTTCATGGTCACATTGGCTTCTCTTTTGTGTGTGTGTGAAATCTCCCTCTGCCTTTCTCTTATCCAGTTCAGACACTTGTGATTGTATTTAGGGCCTACCCAAATAATCCAGGATAATCTCCTCATCTCAGAATTCTCAACTGAATCACATCTGCAAAGACCTTTTTTCCAATAAGGTAATATTTTCAGGTTCCAGGGCTTAGGACCTGATATATTTGGGGGCCATTATTCAGCCTACAGTCACTTAAGCAATTTTTAAACTGAGGTTTTGATATAAATGATTACATACTCTTAATAGCAAACATAATTTCCTCTTTTTCTCTCTGGTAGCATTTAAAATGTTCCACAAAAAGTCCAAATATGTGACATCTCCATGGCACCACATAGCTAAGAAACACTCTTTCCAGATCTGTGTTGACATCATTTGATGATGCTAGGTCAAATATGCTTTGGCATTAAAGAATTACAATAAGTTATGGTTGCACAGTTGCCTCCTCTTAAAGGACGCTCAGATCAAGAACCGTGTCTTCTTCTATCATTAAAATTTCTCTCCAGTGAAAATAGTTACATTTAGTCTCATAATTCATCTCAAAATATTCCAATGTTTTGCCAATTTCTGTAAAAATAGGTAATGCAATAAAAAGTAAGACTTTTATTACTAGCTTATTTTAAAAAAAGACAAAACTAGACCTTTGGCCACAGAACCTCCAGGTTGCTTTCTATGTGAAGCAATTTGTACCACATCATTGTCAATTAATTTTTATTTTATGAGCATTTACTGCACAGCTACAAGCAATTACACATCAAGGCATTCTCTGTATATAATAGAGGCCTGATAAATGGTTCTACACATCAGAATTGCCTTGGGACTTGCTTTGTGTAGTTTTAGTAGGAATGAACTTGACATTTACTTAGTACCTAACAAGGTCAGACATACAGGTATTTAAAACGCACATACAGAGACAGCGACATACATAGACATAGACTTTGCCGGAATTAAACAAAAATTAATTGCAAAGAATAACGCTTGATTTTCAAAAGTCGCCCTTAAAAACGGGGGGCATGTCAAAAGACACAGGAATCAATCTGCAAGAGCTAACGATGGTCAAATCTGGAACAATTTGAGCAACAAAATTTAACATAGTATTGAATTATAACTCAAAGTATGGAATAAATATGCATGAGTCCACACTGATATAAATAAATAATTGAATGAATAAATGAGGGAGAAGGGACAAATCTTGCAGAGTTCTGCATTACGTATGTAGATACTCTCCCCTCAAGGAGGTGGGGCTTAATTCGGCTCCCTTGAGTGTGGGCTGCACTTAAGGACTCACTTTCCAAAGAATAGAATATGGGAAGGGGAAGACAGTAACTTTACAGTGGGAAAACTTGGCAGATGTTATCTTAACCAAGTGATCAAGGTTAAGGTCAAGCCCTTTATCAAGGGTTACTTTGGTAATATAAAGAGAGCATGGGAATGAGAGGGCGACATCTTTATATCACTGTGATGTAACAGTTTTGTTTTGTGCCTTCTCTCCTTAGCCCTAATGTGACAAGTTGAAAGTCAGTCTCTCCAAAAGCTGCTTCTTGGAGTAACTATCCATTTAGGTAAGATTACTGAATGTTACAGTAACACAGTGGTTCTCCACTGCAGGAGTTCCCCCCTCCATCCCCACCCCCAGATTTGGCATATTTGTGTGTGTAGGAGGGGGTTTGCTACTGATATTTAGTGGGTAGAGACTAGGGTTGCTGCTAAACATCCTACAGCGACCCCCACAACCAGAAACTCTGGTGCCAATGTCAATAGTGTCGAGGTTGAGAACCATGAACTAATACATGCATACATCTAATAGATGTTTATTGGGTGCTTACAGTATCCCTCACACCAGGCTACATTTTCCGGATGACACAGATAGTCTGTCTCCTCAGGAAGCTTACCATCATGTTGGGGAGTTGGAGAACAGGTGAATCACTTATAGTACTGCATGTGTCATTTTATGTAAAAAGGCCACACTGGCATACAGACAAGCACCAAGATGAATAGTCCAGATACCTGTTCTGGGTTGTCTAGAAAGGTAACGAGTTATCTAGAATGGCTCTGTGTAGGAGATAGGACTTTCAATGGGCCTTGACGAACCCACAGACCTTAGATATAGTGAGTAGGAAAGAGGAAGACCAGAAGTACCATAATATTTTTTACTGGGGATAGTACCTGGTAAAAGATAAAGAAGTACCGAGGATATTCTAGGAATAAAACATGATTTGACGGGTACACTTTTCTTTCACGTGCTACTTACAGAGATGGGTCAGGACCTTCTTACAGTTTTTCCAGACAAACTGAGAAGAGGTTTCAATGGGAGGGGGTGTGCAACCTCAGAATTCATGTGGAAACAGTGGTTTGATGTGCCCCTCTCCTCATCTGGCGTTCTGAGAACCCCTGCCTTCATACCTGTCACTCATCTGAGAATATTCGCTGTCACAGACAGGCCTAGGCTCATATTCTTTTCCTTTTGGTCGTATCATTGCTCACTGGTAACTTTACTCTTTGTTACTCTTTTCGCCCTTTGCGCCTCGCCCCCGTTTCTTAATATATTGATAATCGGTAACCGTAGATTGTACGTTGTTAATGGAACATCACTACTATCCGTAATGATAATAGCAACACCTTCTAGGCTCTTTGGAAGTAGATATTGCGGACGCCATTGGCTGAAAAGAAACAAAGATACAATTCTCCTTGCTAGACTCTTGCTGGCGAAGTGACTTAAAACATTTTAAAACAGCGTCTGACCAGTAGATGGCGCCCTCCTCCCTTTGTGTGAACGAGTTATGAATGAAGCTTTCCTTTTGCCCTCCTCCCCCAAGCACTGTTGTAGTGAAAACCAATCCGTCACTGAGTCCATTCCAAATCTTTTAAATTCATCGTCTTTCCTTCATTTGCTGTCTAATTCAGACCTTCCCCACATGTCTCCTATAGTTTGTAATAATATAACCTCCTGCCTCTGGTATCCTGCTGTCCTAGCCTATCCAACACATAGCCATCAGAATCACTTTCCAAAAACATTGTCAATGCCCTGCTGAAAAATGGTGTGGGGGGGGGGGCGGGGGGACATGGAGTGGGGGATGGATTCTCTGTGAAGGCAATGGTAGGAGCAGAAGGGTCAAGGTAAAGTGGAGGCCTTCTCCCGCCAATAGATTTGTCTCATTTGGCTGTAGTGGGGCAGGGGAAGGGTGACTGGCTACCGTGGGAAAGGTAGATTCAGAACCTTGGTCCTCTGCCAAGGAATTTTAAGTCGCTCAGGAGGCCATAGAGAATCACTAAGAGGTTTTGAAGGTGGCAGGATTAGAGCTGTGCTTGGGCAAGATTAATGTGACCAGGCATGCGGATGGACTGGGTGAAAAGGGAGAGTTCGGTGGAGAAGTCAGCTTAAAAGAGGGGAAATGGGAGAAGCTTATACAGGGTGATTTGCAGTTTGGGAAATTCAGAGAAGTAGTTCCTCAACCATAATATTCACCAGTAAAATAGTTACAAAATCAATGTCAGGAAATGTCTAGGAAGCCAGGAATATATCCACATATTCTGATGTGCTGTGTGCATGCATATGCGTGGCTAGCCAGTACATCTCCTAGCTGCCTCTGGGAAGAGTATTAGGTGCCAGAAGCGAAGCCACTACACTTGTTTTCAAGGAAGAAGTAGAAAAAAAGGAAAACAGCTTGAGCTTCTTTCCATATCACAGGCTTTCATGTGTTATTATTCAGCACTACAGTGTCAGATTTAGATTTTCCACCTCGAGGAATTTGGTTTAGCTTTAATTAGTTGCTATGAATATTTCTGAGCCAACTCCGGGAAGCATTTATCTACAAAATAGTTTTCACTAGAATATAAGCTGGATATAGGGTGTCATTTTTCTATCAGGCTCTGTATCATGTTCACACAGTTATAAATTCTCTCCAGCCATCTGGATGATTTTTGCCACAGCCCACCATAGTTATATTGGTTAATTATTTATTAATCATAATTTAAAATACTATAATATTGAGGCCATCTGTCTCACCATCCAAGCTCTACGAGTAGCTACAGGACTCTAGAGCACAAATATTTTTCAGAGAAAAGATGATGTTTGCAGGTTATTCTCCATGGAGGCAACTGATGCATTTTTCATCCAGCAACTTCTCAGAAAAACAAGCTTAAAAATACCAGACAAATGAAAAACAGACTTCAGCAGTTACATGCAGCTTCCTGAGTAACTGAAGAATGTGCCTCTTGTGGTTAAAATGAGGGATCTGTTTAATATGGATGAAATACCAACACTCCAGGCATTTTCATTGACATTTCACTGTGACTTTTTGAACTTAGGAGTGCTGACACGAAAACCTATTCTGGCTGCTCTGCGAAGCCTGCAGCTGGACTGCAGAGCAGGGCCAGGAGAGGTAAAAGACGATGTCGGGTTCACGTTCCCTCGGGGTGTGTGTCTTTCTGTTTGTACTTCATTTTCATTCCCATCGTTGCACTTCCCAGTTTTCCAGGATTCCTTCTCTGAAACCAGTTAGGAAACGGTATGCTCTCAAATCCCATCGCCTCTCCAGCGCTGGACTTGCTTACTGGACCAAAGTGAAAACTCTCGTGGTGGGCATTTGTAAGGACCTTTTCCAAAGGTCAAGGAACACTTCTGTACGTTGGAACCAGAAGCTTCCCACAGTGGCTGGACGGAGGACTGGGGCACCCAGGGTACATCTGAGAACAGATTCAAAGGATAAAGGAGCCCAGGGACGCCCCCTTTTCCGATCCTCCCCAGCGCTGACCGGGCTCGGCTCCGTGGCAGCCCCGCCGTCTGGCAGCAGCCGGGGAGAGACATGCTGTTTTGTTTAAATCCTCCACATTCTTTGCCATTTCCCCATTGGCCGGATGGGGCTACCCTCCCCGCCGTGGCCGCTGCTGATGTCAGCCTCGCTCGCGCTCGCTCCTCCCGCACCCACCTCCCTGGCCCGAGGCACACTGCAGCTCCGTGCGGACTCTCCGGCCCCGGCGAGGTGGCTGCAAACTCGCGGGCACGCACGGCGCTCGGGGAGCCAAGGGACTCGGGGGAGGGGACGCGCGCGGAAGGCGCCAGCTTCCTCTCGCCCGCCCCTCGCAGCCGCGAGCCGCGGTCGGAGCTACCCGGGGCTCCAGCCCAGCAGAGCCGAGCGGCGGCGGCTTCCCTTTTCTCTCCCAGCGAGCCCTGGAGCGCCTCGGGGACCGGCCCGAAAAAGAGCAGGAAATCTTGTTTACCGCCCGGGTAGAGGAGCCGACCGAGCCTTTGTCTGGAAAGTCAGCTTCTCCGGCTCCGGCTGCAATGTGTTCCTGGTGACATTAGCATTGGACAGCCCGGCCGGAGAAGGGGGGTCGCCAGGTTCATGTCTGGTTTCGGAGGCGGATCGAGCGGGTGACTTTTGTGCATTCATTTTAATTTTTGGAAATCTCTCTTTTTTCCTCCCTCGCCCGTTGCCGGGCATGTCCTGATCTGGCGGCCGCTCCTACCGCCCCGGGCTGCCGATCAGAGCGGTTTCCAGCGGGGCTCTTTCCCTCCCTCCTTGACTTTGCAACACCGCGTTCCGGGAGGACCGACCTCGACGAGGAAAGAGGCGGGGGAACCGCGAACACCCGGACCCAAACCTTGACATGCTCCCGGGCGGAGAGGAGGAAGCCAGGAGCTGAGCGCGCGCCGGGGCTGCTTCGCCGGCCGGCTCCGAGTGCGGGGCTCCGGGCGCCCTGCCCTGCGCCTGGGCGGCAGCCTTGTTGGTCTGGGGGGCTCCCCACCCCCGCCCCCCGCTTCCCGCCCCGGGGACCCGCGGCCGGCAGGACCATGCTGCTGAAGGAGTACCGGATCTGCATGCCGCTCACCGTGGACGAGGTAAGCGCGGCGCTGGGCCCGGCCTCGCCCGCTCCAGGCCCCCCGCCTCGGGGCGCCTCGTCCCCCGCCGCCGCCTCCCGGCCAGCGGGTCCACTGCGGGCGGCAGGGAAACCCTGGTGGAACATTACCTCCCAAACCAGAAGGTTGGACGGGGTGGACATAGGGGGACTGCTGTTTCCACTTGTCACCCCAGCGGGGGAGGGAGGCGGTGGGTGGGGCTGTGGACTCCAGGTGGGCTCTTTGGGGCCACCTAGAATCCAGATTGCTGGGGATCAGAATGCGCCAAAGGGAACTGGTCCTCCCCTTCCGTCCAATTAAGAAAATGAAGAAAGCAAACCCAGGAGCACCAAGCGCCCCCCAGTAGCTGGGGTTCGGGGGGGAATCCCGTCCGGGCGTGGGCCCCGCCTCTCCTCCCGCCCTTCGCTATAAGGTCGGGGTACGGGGAGAAGGTTTTCGCTCTCGGGATCTGGAGGCCCGAAGCTCCGCTGAGGGACACTTCGGAGCCCTTGGGGCATCCGTCTGGGCCCGGACCTCTCGCCTTCGCCGCCAGCCTGGGCGCCACTCCCGCCACGCCCGCGCATTGAGGCTCCGGGACCTGGCTTCGACCTTTCGCAAACCGCCTGGCTCGGAAACTTTGTGCGTCTCTTGTTTCTTCAGTCGCGGGGAGCGTGGTCTGCGGGCGAGCCGGGAGCGGCGGGGGCTGCGGCGCGGCCACGGGAGGGCGCCCCAGCACGTGGGTGCGGGTCCGGCCCCGGCTCCCACTGCAGCCGGACGGGCGGGGGGCGAGGGGCGGGGGCTCGTGCTGGGCTCTTCCTCCACGCACTGCTCAGGTTCCATTCTCCCTGTTCTCCCGGAGCAGCAAGCTCTATCATTCAGGAAACGATGACTCAGTGAGGATTATTCAGGCCCCGGCTTCCCTTTATTCCCCCTCTCCTCCCTACCTTTTTGGTGATTTCACAATTGCTTAGCGCTTGTCCAGGGACGGTGAGGGAGCGTGAAGCCAGTCAGGGCAATTTGAAACTCACTAGTGTGGCTTGGTGTGGCAACACAAATGAAACCAGCGACCCAAACCGTATTTATATTTAAATACAGTGCATTTAGTGTATCACGTATGTTATGGAGCCACTACTTTGTGAAAGGAGCTAGGTGTTTTGGGAGAGAAAGAGATATTTAATCAGGGACGTGGCTGTCTTCATTTGTCACCTGGAGCAAGTATTAAGGCAAGACCCAGGTATAATCCAAGACAAGATTAAAGTAGCTCCGAGTTTACGAAACGGATCCCAGGGACATTGGCTGCCAAAGAGAGATGGGCCCTCACCAGCATGATCAACCGAGCGCTCCTGTCTGCTGGCATTTGAGGAGCTAGCGTTTGAGCAAGGTTTTGAAGGGTGGATGCCATGTGGGTAGGCAGAGTTTTGGGGGTGCATCCGGATCGTGTAAATAAAGTGGAGAAGCAGCACACTGCTATGTGGAGAATGGCAGAGGCCAATGAATGAAACTGGTTATCCAGAGTATTTCTAGAAAAGGTTGAGATCGTCCCACCCCATGGGCAGTGAGCTGGAGCAGTTCAGCTTGGAGGTGTCTATGTTTCTATTCCATCTCCTCCTAATGACTTTATTTATTGATAGGAGTTTGGAATCTAGGGGTGATTCTGGTACTGCATGAAATACCCCCCAAATGCAAGTGACAGTCAAGAAGATAACCAGTTCTGGAATCTTCTCTACTGCCTACAAAATCTCTTTATTCTGGTTGGTTTCCTTCTCAGGCTTTCTTGAACACTCAGGCACAGCTCTTTTCCCACTTTTTTTTTTTGCTACTGAAATACCCACCACTTCAGGGTGAAGTAATTACATTTGAGTGGTATAGGTGGAGGCCCTTCTTTTCTTAATTGGCAAATGAAATCAGACTCCACCTGTAATATACTGTATAATTATAATTTAATGAATGTATAATTCATTTGGACTAAAGCATGATTCCGTTTCTGTAAGGTTATATTTTGAAGCGGCATTCTATTTTGTCAGAAGCAGGAGGGCTGTTTAGATTGACAGAGTTTTCAAACTGGAAGGATTCAGATTAACCAAGTCAGATGATGGATGCAGAAACCAGGCCCAACTTGCCAGAGGTTAGACCCCTGGAGTCTGAACTGGTGGTAAACCCCACAATCTCCACAATCCTGCTTTGTCTTCCTGTCTTACTGACCTTACCATGAAAACTGGGAAGCAACAGTGTCTTTAAAGAAGACAATTACCCTCAATTTAGGTAAACTTTTGGAAGCCTAACTTTTGCTTCAACTCTCCATTTGCTTTGGGCCTGATTCAATCTACATGAAACTTCTGGAACTTTCTTCTGTTTAACTACCACAGTTAATTAGTAGCAGTGTCCATATTTTTGAAAACGAGGCAAATGCCCTTGTTTTAGAGAGTCAGCAAGAGAACCAACACTGTGTCTGTTCTTTTCCCTGGTCTTATCCCATTTAATTCCTGGTGGAGGGGAGAGTAAGGGGGATTGGAGTCTTATTACCCACATTTTGCAGATGAATAAACTGAGATTCAGAAAGGTTAAGTAGTGTGCGCCAGGCCATACAACCAGTTAATAGCCAAGCCAGAACCAGAGTCGTAGTAAACCCACTATTTGTTTTTCCTCACTCTGCTCTTTGCCCGTTGCTAGTATTTCATCCAGCAGAAGGAACAAAACATTTCTTGAAAACAGATAAAGTCAGCACTATCAACTAAATGAAAAATCGAAGACCTTTTGAATTGTTATAGAGAGTACTGGTTGCTACTATTTCTCTAGCCTTGCTTTAACTTACAAAATGTTCCCTAGTTCCAGGAAAGAACAGCTCTGGGGGACAAAGAAAATAAAACTGAACTACAGTCTTGAACAGGGTGTTGGTGTTTTGTTTTGTTTAGCCACTAATTTCAGAATAAGGAATTATAAGAAGTAACATCCCATGGATTAATTTTAATTTAAAAACTTCATTGGAATAGACTCCTTATTTATGTTCCACGTCATTGTCTCTGAACTAAATATAAGCCTGTTGGGAAGTTTTGACCAGTACAGGTTCCTGGGGGCTGATAGTCGGCTGTAAAGAGACAGTTGTCAATGTCTTCATTTGAAACATGTGGTGATGTAGATTCTAGAATTTTATCCTTGGAAGGGCTATTAGAGATGATCTATAGTTGAGCTATTTCATTTTGTGGAGGAGAAGACTAGAGCTGTAGAAGGTTCAGTTAGTTGCCCATCTCATAGCTAAGGGCAGGCTCTAGGGCAGAACCTAGGTCTTCTGATTTCTGGTGCAAAGCTGTTTTCCTACAGGCCAGGGCTTCTCCAGGGCTTTCCCCCTCAGGGATCCCTTGTTGGAAGGAAATATTTTCCCTAAGCCTCATGTGCAAAGCAGGGGTGCTAGGTGGTCTCTAGTTGAAGATGGGTTGGAGACTCTGACCTTATCTACTTAGAGACATTTAGGGGAGTCAGCTGAGCAGAAGGGTGGCCAGGGGCTCTGTTTGAAGCTGCTTTTGTGTAACAAGCGCATTGGTTTTCCTTAGATTGTATGTATGTTTGGGGTGGCTTTTGGATGTGTGGCTCAGTGGAGATTATGGTGGAGTTCAAGGCCTCTGCCCACCAAGCCAGTCTTTGGTGCTGCCCCTGGTCCCAGCATCCCCATCCCAAACTCCATCTTCAGGACTCCTTGGAGCCCTGTCTGATCACTCCTCCCTGACAGACACTTATCAGTAAGATAAGCATCTTCAAGAGCTAAGCACATCCGAATATGATCTAAAGCAGGAATCCTTTCATTTTCATCTTGCTTTGGTGTTTAATAGTTCCTGTTCTGACTGCATTAACAGTAATGTGTGTACTTTTAGGGATTTTTCTGTGGTCTGTAGGGATTTGGTGCACAATGAAAAATAGAAACATTCCCCTCCTCTCCAAGAAAAGAAGAAAGAAAGAAAAGAAAAACAACTTTTTAATACAGAATATTATTTTATTCTTTGCCCTGGCAGGGAGCCAGCACACTTTATCCAGGCTCCCCCAGGTCCCCAGAGAATTTTCTTTCGTACATTTCTGAGAACAGATTTGGGGTTGGGGTGGTGCCTTCTCTGGAATGACATAAATGGAGATGCCAAGATGCCCAGCAATGCTCCTCATTCTCTGTTTAAAACGATTTTCGGGAAATGCGTCTGCAAATATATCACGGCAGAAATTCTTTAAGGAAAGAGATTTTAAGTTTAATATTGGCATTGATACGGTTTGGTTTTTGTACAATGTGATACCCCTGAATATAAAGGATAAAGGGTCCTTGGATTAATCTCATAGACCTTCTCCAGGATTCCTCGTTAACATAATTTTGAAAATGTTTTTTAAGAATGAGCCCTATTGGGCCGGCCCCGTGGCTTAGCGGTTAAGTGCGCGCGCTCCGCTACTGGCGGCCCCGGTTCGGATCCCAGGCGCACATCAACGCAGCGCTTCTCCGGCCATGCTGAGGCCGAGTCCCACATACAGCAACTAGAAGGATGTGCAGCTATGACATACAACTATCTACTGGGGCTTTGGGGGAAAAATAAATAAATAAAAAAAATTAAAAAAAAAAAAGAATGAGCCATATTGACTTTTTTTTTTTCCTGATTGTCGGCCTAGTAGGGAGGGAGAAAGGCCAGGACATGAGTTTGATTTCTGGGCGATCCCAGTAGCTTCTCTTACCTGTTCCACAGTCATAGAACAGTGTTCCTTGTGCTGCCGAGCTCTCTTGCAAAGCTCCCTTAGTCTTGAGGGGCACCAGGGAAGGGGGTCGGGTTAATGAATAAGTGCAAACCTTTCACCGCTAATGGAACAGACAACAAGGAGCAGATGCTGTCCTCCTGGCTGGTCAATGAAATTGACTGTATATGAAGGACGCTGCATTTTCCCTGTGATATGTGTGTGAATGCCCCTCACACGAAACCGATTCTGGGCCTTGAAAAAAAGACACACTATTGTTAACAAAACCCTAGTTAAAAGTGAGT